GCTAGCTGGCTGGTTGGCTAAGGCAACATGCCTTAGTTGCATTTTTCAAGTTGATTTCATTGGATTGGATGGTATTTCTGGTCCACCAAATCCCATGCCAATGCAACGTCATGACAACACAAGACCAACTATGGAATAAGTGAAACGAAAAAGAAACAAAAACAACAAAAAATACGACATACTGTCAGCCAACATTAGGCAATTTATCTCGACATTATAGCAAATAACAGCTACAGCAGCAACAACAACTATTTTTGGTACATGCATCAATAGCCAGCAAATCAGGCAACCAGCCTGCCATGTAGCTACTCATGATGTCGTATGTCGGAAACTCCATGTATGTTATTATACATCACACACACTCTCTATGGCCATGTCGCTGCAGCGGAGTCTTATGAAATTTTGAAATAATCCTTCCACCAGTACGGAAAGCGGCTGTCAAACAGTTGTTGTTATTGTTGTTTGTTTTTGGTCATACTGGTGGCAACGACGACACGTAACATTTCAGCCAGTTCGAAATAAATGTCTAGTTTTGCGGCCAATGCAGATGAAGGGGACGGGCTGAAGATGATGGAACTGCAGCGGCATGTCGTGTCATTCACTTATTTCCCAATATCATCAGGCATTTCTTTCTACCCCAAAATGCCAGGGTGATGAGAGAAAATTTATTCAAACAAATGACAAAGAAATGATGGCACACAGCTCCAATGGTACGTGCGGTCAAGGTAACATACCTTACATTTTGCCAAGACAAAAACAACTGTAGTTTGAGAATTTGGAAAAACAATGGCCAGCGTGTTGACACTTAAGATGGACGTTTTCTATTGGATAAACGAAAAAAAAAACAATTTCTGGTAATTTGAGAATATTTCATATTCCAATATCCCACAATGGGCGTTGTTCCTTCAGATTGTTGGTAGAAAAATTTATTAATTAGATGAAACTAATAGAGACAATTCTGATCAGATTAATAATTTATGTAAGCAACTTAACGCTTTATCTAAATGAACTTTTTCTAAAATCCTTTTGTAATTGGTTGTTTTTAAAACTCTAGCACTCGTCGAGCAATGGGCGTAATTTGATAACTTAAACCAGCTACACACCTGAAAAATCAATCGATCTTAATAATGGGTGTAAACACCCAACATTGCACGCCCTTTCTCAACACTTGGGTGTAGTAGGCAAATCGGCATTCCACTGAAGTATTATCTCTCCACGACCACGACGTTAGCATTTGACACGCCAGCGACTATTAAATGTCAGCTTCAATCTGTCTTATCGCTTAGAAAAATCTTTGCAGCTGATTAAAACAAAAAGCCTGAACAAATGAAAATTGTCAAATGATATTCAAATAGGAAGAAAAAATAATTAACAATTTTTAACAAAAGAAACAAAGGCTGTAGTTGAGATAATACAATACCCTACGTAAAGCTAATCATAAGGAAGGAACGGGCTGAAGGTCAGGGAGCCGTTATAAGCGGGCAGGAGTCCAGGGAGTCTTTATAGAAGCTAGGAAGTCTTTATAGACGAACTGATGGGCCAGCGAGTCTCTATAGACGAGCTGATGCGACAGGGAGTCTCTATAGACGAGCTGATGCGACAGGGAGTCTCTATAGACGAGCGGGTGCGACAGGGAGTCTCTATAGACGAGCTGATGGGCCAGAGAGTCTCTATAGACGAGCTGATGGGGCAGAGAGTCTCTATAGACGAGCTGATGGGGCAGAGAGTCTCTATAGACGAGCTGATGGGGCAGAGAGTCTCTATAGGCGAGCGGATGGGCCAGGGAGTCTCTAAAGACGAGCTGATGGGCCAGAGAGTCTCTAAAGACGAGCTGATGGGGCAGAGAGTCTCTATAGACGAGCTGATGGGGCAGAGAGTCTCTATAGACGAGCTGATGGTGCAGAGAGTCTCTATAGACGAGCTGATGGGGCAGATAGTCTCTATAGACGAGCTGATGGGGCAGAGAGTTTCTATAGACAAGCTGATGGGGCACAGAGTCTCTATAGACGAGCTGATGGGGCAGAGAGTCTCTATAGACGAGCTGATGGGGCAGAGAGTCTCTATAGACGAGCTGATGGGGCAGAGAGTCTCTATAGGCGAGCGGATGGGCCAGGGAGTCTCTAAAGACGAGCTGATGGGCCAGAGAGTCTCTAAAGACGAGCTGATGGGCCAGAGAGTCTCTATAGACGAGCTGATGGGCCAGAGAGTCTCTATAGACGAGCTGATGGGCCAGAGAGTCTCTATAGACGAGCTGATGGGCCAGAGAGTTTCTATAGACGAGCCGATGGGGCAGAGAGTCTCTATAGACGAGCTGATGGGGCAGAGAGTCTCTATAGACGAGCTGATGGGGCAGAGAGTCTCTATAGACGAGCTGATGGGGCAGAGAGTCTCTATAGACGAGCTGATGGGGCAGAGAGTCTCTATAGACGAGCTGATGGGGCAGAGAGTCTCTATAGACGAGCTGATGGGGCAGAGAGTCTCTATAGACGAGCTGAAGGGGCAGAGAGTCTCTATAGACGAGCTGAAGGGGCAGAGAGTCTCTATAGACGAGCTGATGGGTTAGTGAGTCTCAACGGACGAGCTGATGGGCTAGTGAGTCTCAACGGACGAGCTGATGGGGCAGAAAAACTCTACGGACGAGCTGATGGGCTAGCGAGTCTCTACGGACGAGCCTCTATAAACGAGCTTAAGAAAAGGAACACCAGAAGTTCATCACAGATGAGCTTAGGGTCAGGAAGTCGTGATAGAAACATTGAATGCATGATGATGTAAAGGCCATGCAATCTTTAAAGCCGAACTGAAAGCCAGGTCGTAATATAGATGACCTGAAGGCCAGGGGGTCTTTATAGGCAAGCTGAAGACTAGTGGTTCGTGCTATAGTTGAGCCGGCTGTTAAGTATTCGCAATAGAGGATCGGATGGTGGTGGTCTCTGAGGTCAGGGAAAATAAATATTTTCACAATTATTCTTTTCAAACTTACAGTCTTAAAAATCCATGCTTACAGCCCCGAAAGACCTTCCCAAAATGGTCCTTTAAGATATTTCCAAAATCCAGCTATTGCTCTGCTAGTCCTCTGCTAGCTACTGCTCTGCTACTTTTACCAAATACATCCATTGTCATCTGAAATACACCTTTCTTAAATAGTCCAAACCCAAAAATGCCAGGTTAATTACTCTGATAGTCCTTCCAAAAATACTTTGACAAAATCCACGCTCTTTACTCTGATAGACCTTTTAAAAATCGACGATGACTGCTCTGATAGTCATTTCAAATATTTATTCATAAAAATCACTCGTATTACCCTGATAGCCCTTTCAAAAGTAGCAATAAAGAGCCCTCACTTATAGCTCCAGTAGTTCTTCCAAACAATGTTATTAAAAAGTCAGCACCTTTTACTCGGAAAGTCCTGCCAAAACTCTTCAAAAAATCCAAGTTTATGACTTGACAAAAAAGTCAACGCTTATTGCAATGGTAGTCCTTACAAAATATTCCTATAATCCACGCCTATTACCCCGAGAGTAGTTCCAAAAATATTCTTAAATTTTCCACGCTTTCTACTTTGATAGCCCTTCCAATCCACGATAATTTCAAATAGTCCTTCCAAAAATATTATTGAAGAATTTTTCCTAATTGCTCTAATAGTCTTTCTAAAAATATTCATAAAGAATCCTCACTTATTGCTCTAGTAGGCCTTTCGAAAAAATATTAATAAAAAGTCAACATCTTTTAATAGAGTAGTCCTGCCAGTACTCTTCTTAAAAAATCCAAGTTTATTATTCTGACAGGATATCCAAAAATATTCTTCAAAAATCCGTTTATTACTCTGATAATCCTTTCAAAAACCACTTCCTTTTGTTTGGAAAGTTCTGCCGAAACTATTATTTAAAAGTCTACGATTATTGCTCTAAGTATATACTTAAAAAATCACCCCTACATACTTAAAACATCCACGATTTCTACTCTGATAGTCCTTCCAAAAATATTCTCGCAAAACCCACGCAAATTCCCCCGATAGACCTTTTAAGAAAACACAATATTTGCTCTAATAGTCATTACCTCATAGTCCTGCCAAAACTATTCTAAAAAAATCCCTATTTATTACCCTGACAGGATTTCCAATTATATTCTTAAAGAATCCTCACTTATTGATTTGATAATTCTTTCAAAAATATTCATAAAAAAAACTTTTTTCCTTTTGTTTGGATTGTCCTGCCGAAACTATTCTTTAAAAATCTACGCTCATTTCTCTGAAAGTCCTTAAAGTATATCCTTGAGAGTCCTTTCGAAAAAATATTCCCACAAAATCCTCGATGATTGCTCTGATAGTCATTTCAAAAATATTTATAAATTACCTCTCTTATCAGGGCAACGATAGTCCTTTCAAAAATAGTATTGATGAATTATAGGTGATTGCTCTAATAGTCCTTTAAAATATATTCCTAAAGAATCTTCACATATTGCTCCAGTAGTCCTTAAAAATGTTCATAAAAAACCCTCACCTTATTCACAGATAGTCATGTCAAAAGTCTTCTTAAAACTCAAACTTTATTGTTCTGACAGGACTTCCAAAAATATTATAAAAAAATCCACGAATTCAAAAACCCCCTCTCCCTTTGGTCGTATAGTCCTGCCAAAACTATTCTTTAAAAATCTACGTTTATTACTCTAATAGTCCTTTAAAAATATTCTTTAAAATTTTTTTCTTAATACTCTGATAGTCCTTTCTATCACCTGGAGAGTCCTTCCGAAAATATTCTTAAAATATCCACTCCTATTGCACTGATAGTCAATCCAAAAAGACTCTTTAAAAATTCATCCTTATTGCCGTGAATGTTTTGAATTTGTGTATACGATGAAGTACCAAGACCATATACCTTGGTCCTGATAAATACTCCCCTAATTGTAATTACAACTCATATGACCAAGCCTCCAGCCACCTCTCCAAATTGAGTAGGGTATTGTAATTAATATTTGTAAACTACTAAAAGACAATAGCTTACCACTTAATTTTCACCATTCACCGCAAGACTTGTTGTCGGCACTCACGTTTGCTTATCTGATGAAATGTTGTTGTTTTTGCTGTTTTAATCCTGCAAATAATAGAAATTAAATACTGGCATAAGTTAAGCATTCCCTCTTTCAATTAAAAAAAAATAAAACTAAATAAATTGAAAATTTGCATACATTGTGCACGCGTCGTCACAATGCATTTTGTGACAATACGCCATACGCTTTACAAAGAACGATAAATATTTAAAAATATATCCCCAACCAACCAGCCGACCGCATCGACATTCGTATTTGCTTTCACGTCCGGCGAGTGAATAAACATAAATATGACTATTTGATTAAGAAATATGTGTGTAAATGCACTATTAAAGTCACCTATTAAAAATGTATAAATTATAAATGTTAATGTTGTTAAAGACAGGGCGATTGGCAGCGGCACCTCTGCTCCTCCTCCTTAAACACGACAGGCCTCTGACAATATGAGAGCATTAACACGAAACGAACAAGTACAGAACGGAACAAAAATTGCCACTGATTATAATGATTATGAATAACATTTTAATCCAATGTTCTCCCCTCCCTGCCAACCAATAAAGATATCAGACTGCAGGTCATACAATCCAGCCAGCTAGCTATTAAACCAGCTTCAAATAAGCGTGCAATTGTATGTGTGCATTTAATTAAGAATTAAAATAAATTCGAATTAAACAAGACAAACTTTCACACTCGTACGCACATTTGCACACACACACACAGATTAACCGATTGCAAAGAAAGTGACAATTGGATGCGGGTTACTAAGAAGAATACTTGTAAAATGGACAATTAAAGACTGGGGACATTCAAAATGTTCTTTAGTCATGAATGTTTTTGGAAGGACCCACTTTTTTAAATATTTCTAGAAGGACTACCAAATTTTGAGAGGGATATCTGAGCAATAAACAAAGTTTCTAAAACATCTTGGAAGGACTATCTGAACAAGAATATATTTGAAAAGGATTTTAGAGCAATAAGCCTGTATCTTTAGATTATTTTTGAAAGCATTATCAGAACAATGTGGAAGGATTTTTAAAAAGATTTTTGGAAGGACTATCAGAGCAATAAGCGTAGGTTTTACGAATATTATTAGAAGGACTATTAGTATTATAGTTCATGGTTTTGTTTTACTTATATTATTGGAAATCATGAGCGTTATAAGTGTTGACTTCTTAAAGACATTTTTTGAAGAACATAGAAAGCACTAAACTTGGATTTTTCGAGAATTTTTTGGAAGGACCTTAATTTTTTAGAATATTTTTGAAAGGACAATCTGTGGAATAGAAATGTATTTTTAAGACAATTTTAGAAAAGATTTTTTGGAATAATTTTTAAAGTACTTTCAGAGCAATAACCATGGATGTTTAAGAATATTTTTCAAAGGACTATTAGAGCTGCAAGCGTGGATTTTTTAAGAATATTTATGGAAGACCTCTCAGAGTAAAAAACGTGGATTTTTTTAAGAATATTTATGGAAGACCTCTCAGAGTAAAAAACGTGATTTTTTTTAAGAATATAGAAAGTACTAAGCAAAGGCTTAAAAAAATATTTTTTTAAATCTTTTTAAAGAAATAAGCGTGGATTTTTAATAATATTTATGGAAGACCTCTCACAGTAAAAAGCGTGAATTTTTGAAGATTATAGAAAGTAATAAGCATAGGCTTTAAAAATATTTTTTTTTAAATCCTTTTAAAGAAAAAAACGTGGAATTTTATTAATATTTTTGGAAGTCCTCTCAAGTAGTAAGCGTGGATATTTTAAGAATATTTTTGGAAGATCTATCAGAGTAATAAGCGTGGATATTTTATGAATATTTTTGGAAGATCTATCAGAGTAATAAGCGTGGATATTTTATGAATATTTTTGGAAGGTCTATCAGAGTAATAATATTTACGGAAGTCCTCTGAGTAAGAAGCGTGAAATTTCTAAAAATATGTACTGAAGTCCTCTCAGAGTACATATAAACCATGAATTTTTAAGAATATTTTTTAAAGTCCTGACAAAGTAAATCGGTGTAGATTTTTTAAGAGAATTTTTGGAAGTGCTCTCAGAGTAATTATTGTCTATTTCTTAAGAATATTTTTGGAAATTCTCTCAGAGTAAAAAGCGTGGATTTTTTTAAGAATATTCATGGAAGTCCTCTCAGACTACTAAACATTGATCCTCTACGAATATTTTTGGAAATCCTCTTAGAGTAATAAGTTTGTATTTTTTGAAAATATTTTTGGAAGCCCTCACAAAAAAATAATCGAGGATGAATTTTTTAATAATAATTATGGAAGTCCTCTGAGAGTAATAAGCGTGAATTTTTTAAAGAATATTTTTGGAAGGACTGTCGAAGAAAAAGGCATGGATTTTACGAGTATTTTTGGATTTTTTAAGAATAGTTTTAGCAGGACTATCCGATGTGTAGGTTTTTATTAATATTTTAGAAAGGAGCCAAAAGCAAGGAGTCTTAAAGAATATTTTCGGAAATCCTCTCAGAGCAATAAACGTGAGTTTTCTTCTTTTCTATTCTTCAAGAATAGTTTTGGCAGGTCAATCAGAGTAGAAAACGTGGATTTTTTAGAAATGAGTGTTTCTAAAGACCGTCAGATTACCCGGTGTTATGTCCTGTTGAACTGATTCCTAAGGAATAGTAGAACAATAGACATACATTTTTTGGGAAATATTCTGAAGGAATACCAGAGGAAATGGTGAGGATATGTAGGACCGTTTTGGGAAGGTCATTCGGGGCAATAAGCATGGATTTTTAAGACAGTAAGTTTTAAAATAATAATTGATGACTATCATTCTCTAGAGATAACCATTCGGTCATATATTGATACTTCACTTTGGCTCGTTGCCAGAGAAGGGACCCTCTCTTTTTCCATGAAAACTCCCTGGATTCCACCCCTCTATTGCCATCAAATTATCTATAAAGATTTCCTGGCATTCACTTGGGCTTTGAAGATTACCGGGATTTCAGGTCATCTATAAAGGCTTTTGGCATTTCGTTGGTCTTTATATATTCTCAAGCTCGTCTATTGAGACTCCCTGACCCACCAGCTCGTCTATTGAGACCTTCTTTCTGAAGACTCTCTTGACTCCCTCTCGTCTATAAGGACTTCCTTGACTACACATTATGTTTAAGGATTCTCTATACAACAACTTGTCTATAAAGATTCTCTAGACTCCAGCTCCTCCATACACTCTCTGGACTCCAGTTCGTCTATAAAGACTACTTGGACTCCAGCTGACCTATAAAGACTTTCTGAACCCCAGCTCGTCTATAAAGTCTTTTTGCACTTCAACTAGTTTACAAAGACTCGCTGATCTCCAACTCATCTATAAAGACTCTCTGGACTCCATCACGTCTGTAAAGACTTCAGCTAGTCAATGAAGATTCTCTGGACTCTAAGGACTCCCTGCACTCCAGCTCGTCTTTAAAGAATCCCTGAACTTCAGCTCGTCTATTGAGACCCTGGCCTCCAACTGATCTATAAGAGCTCCCTGGCATTCAACTCGTCTATAAAGGTTCGCTGACTTCTCACTGGCAATTCAGTTCTTCTATAGGGACTCCCTGACCATCAGCTCTTCAATAGGGACTCCCAGAACTTCAACTCGTCTATGGACAATCCTTGACCTCTAGCTTGTCTGAAGAGACTCCTTGGCTATTCAGTTCATCTGTAGAATGTTTCTGGGTCTCTTATAGAGAGAGATCTGTACAGAATTCCTGGTCTTCAAATCGTCGATGAACTTCATCATAAGGGCTTCCAAACCTTCATTTTGTGCATATAGTTTTCCTTGCTTTTAGTCGGATTTTTAAACTTCCTGGGCTTTAGCTTGACCAGTTTTCCCAGTTTCCCGCTGGTATAAAATGGCTTTCTTTCTCTTCTCTATAATAACTCCATGTTGCTTAGTATTCATCTCCTCCATATGCTTCAGCACGCCTGGAGATATTTTTTTAGCCTTTTCCGGACCTTCTTGTCTATAACTATTTTTTGAACATATTTTTCTATTTCCGTACACCAAGAAAAAAACATTTTTACAGTTGCTTTTCCCTTCCCTGTTTCTCAAAGATTGGAATGTTCACGTCGCTCTGAAAACTTCTTTTAAGATCATCTAAAGACTTCATTCAAGCTCGTTATTAAATCCAACATTTCAAATCGCCTCTGCTCCTCTATAGCTGTTCGCTATAGCTTCCTCTCAATTTTGGGTAGTTCCTCGCCCAAGTGAATGTAATCCTATGCATCCTATGCGCATCCATTTAGCATGCAATTTTCTTTGAAATTCTCTTTTCGCCGGAGGTTTCAATGCAGCGTTGTGGTACGCATAATTTGAAACTTAAGCTCTGTAGAAACGTAATAGCGTTAAGAAGTATAGATATAATAATTTATAATTTAAATGTAATTAAAAAGTTTAAGTTCGCTTTAATAGAATGTGACGGCAAAACGCTTGTTAATTATTAATGAAATATTAATATTATCATCGAAGTTAATAAGTTGAAGATTATGGAGGAAAATACATTGAATATATTGGAGACATGCTCTTTTTTTTCGTAGTAGGATAAATTTTCAATTTATAAAATGAAATCAGTATAAAAATTAAAAAGAGGATTTAAATATTTTTGTTAGTTAAAATAATTATTAAAGTGGCGCCCAACATGAATACTAGTAATATTCTTATGAATGAGCAGAATATCACAGATATTATTTGTGTGACTCATCCTTGTTTGAGTCAATATTTCAAAAACAATTCTCGCGACCTTTAAATGGTTTAAAACTTTTATAATTAATACGGATTTGTACTTTTCATTTATCGTAATTATCACTTGTATGTCGTACCATAAAATTCGTCCTTGCTGCCATAATAACAAACGGAACTCATTGCCACGACTCACACCACGATAGACAGCAGCAGTACCCCAAAATTTTACATTTCGCAGAACAAGAAATTCTTTTGTTTCTACAAAATTACGCAATTTGTAATGCTTTAAAAACTTGTTTCCTTCATTGACATCTTCCTGGTAGAGCCGAACAAAAGAACAATCATCTCAAAATTG